TGTATATGCATATGTACCAAAGCATTACACTGGGCAGTTAGCCAACACTTCCCCTCAAAATAGGGCCTTGGGTGTTTAGAAAGAGAAACTAGAGTTGGATGGGGGTTTTTTCAAGCTATAAAATTGTCATGCATTTGTATTCTGAGAAACTCACATAGCTTGGCCATTTCCGAAAATAAGATGAGGTAAAAACGTATTGTTCTATCTGGCTTCAAAATCTCAATGCAGTTTTGCTGACAGTACTAAACAATCCAGTTGTACATACCATAGCTGAGAACACCACTCCTATTCTTCTTCTGAAGGTGTCCTGTTCTGGCTGACTTGGATGTCATTGGAATAGCTAAACAATATGCACAGTTGGACCTTCCAGCTTTTGCTTTGGGGTGCCTGTTGCTCATTCCTCAGTCTGAGAAGCGAGAGAAGCAAATTCAGGTAAGTAATAACTTTTGTGTTCTATCTGCGCCAGGGAAACGTCTTTAAGTATGTTATGTTAACCAGAAATTGTGAAAAAGGTAACTTAAAATTCTAATTTATTTAAATATGTCACTGCTGACAGCTGCTTGGCATTTCCTACCCACAAAGGTTATTGCTCTGAATTTGTCCCTCTGAAAGAGATCATGTGAACACTTCCTCTTGTTTTGTTGTTTTGCTACCTTCAAGTCATCCTCAGCAGCTTTGTCATATGACTTTGCCTTCTGTGGTTTTGAGGATATTTTATGGGATCCCACTCATAAAACCCATGAAAGACAACTACAAAATCCACACCATAGGCATATTCCTGCCAGAGCTGTGTGAGGTGGTTGGTAACATATAATTGCTGAGGAGCTACCAGTGGGCTAGTTTCACAGCACATAGTAATAGAAGTACTGAATCCTGCTTTGGAAAAACGTTCAGTTAAAGCTCCTGACTTCTTAGAAAGATGCTTGTGACATACCTCACAAGTTCTGTTATCAATCTTTTGCCTTAAATCCATATCCTCATATTCATGTAACTTGACAGTTTCCTTTTCATTTGTTTCCATTAATTTATGCTCTGGATTTTCTCCCAGATGAAGCATTATAGGCTGTTCCCACATCTGTCATGAGCAAACTGGCACTAGTAAAGGCATCTTAAATTCTTAGACTTCCAGTTGTTAAAGTTAAGCTCAGAAAGATTTTTCACAAATTACAGCATTAGTGCAAGACATTTAGTCTGCTGGCAATTACACACACAAAAAAAAAATCTATTCCGCTACAGCAAAATACCCTTTGAGAGTTAAAAGCAATGAGTACTATTCTGTCAGTCAAACTGCACAGATCCTGGTTTGATAATTTCATGTTTGTACCTAGAATTTCAAAATATTAATTGTTCCTGAATAAGGCAAATGCTTGCTCTGAAAGGAGAGTTTCTACTTTAACCACTTACAGAATATTAACGTTTTCTAACTTATTTTTGCAAGGGTTTCTTATCGACATGTAACACAGAAACCGTGCTGCAACAAATAGATGAACACATGAATACTGGAGAAGTAGTGGCATTTGCTTCTCAGGTAAATAAATAAAATTTACTTCACTTGCTTTGACTTAGAGACTTTTTTTGATAGATAAGTGTACACAGAACCTTCCCCCCCCCCTTTCCTGATCTTGCCAAGCATTAGTTGACATAATGCACACTTCTAAAATACAGCAACGTTTGCAAGGATTTTTGCATTTGTATTGATGTTGTGCAGCTGAAAAACTTCTTGTATGTATACACAGTGCTGTTACAGGCTGCCTTTATTTGTAGCACAGCATTGTTTACAGCAGTACTACTTCATTTTCTAAATAGGTATTTTAAGCAAAAAGGCCAAAGGGCTTATGAAAGTGCTCGCTCTCTTGCCTTGGGCTGCCTTCCTAAGGGCAAGTTTCTTAAGTCATTCCTCTATCTGAATCTGAGATTAGTCTTTATAAAATCTGCCATTTCACAACACTAAAAAAAAAAAAAATTAAAAAAAATCCTGTTCTATGGGAGTCCAATAAGAAAAGTCTGACCTCTTTTCATTCAAAAGTAAAGTTTCTTATGTTTAAAATATTAATATTTTTTCATTACTAAAACTTAAATCTACAGATTAGATGTTTGGTTTTGGACAGTATCATAAATGAGAAGTTATATGAAAAATTCTTGAAAACTAAGTATTTTCCACTGTTGAAGCAACAACTGATGAATACTCACAGAATGAAAGAACTGGTGGATTATTTTGCCAAAAAGAACTGGTAAGTTAATAAAACGGGCGATGCATGACTGATAGCAATTATAGAAATTGAATCTTTATTTTATTTTCATTTATTTGAAGTCATGGAGATTTTCTAGTACTTAATCTCCAAGAATTTTTGAAGTGTTGCTAAGCTAAAGAAACAAAATAAAAATCTCACCTCACTACTCTGCATAATTAGGATAGAGTTTTAGTGTCATTCAAGCCACAGTAACAGCCTGTGGAGCCTGGACTGCCAAGCAGATTGAACACAGTTAAAATAGAAGTAACCTAACTGAAAAAGCCAATGCTTTTGCTTTGAATCACTTCCCCATACCTTCAGATAAATTCAGAATACTCTGGAAAAAATAAATTAACTGCCTGTACTCATGACTTACCGGCAAAAGCACTAATTCCTAAGTTTTTTCCAAGAGGTAGAAATACCTCTTATGTTCCACTTAAAGAGTCTTTCTTTGCCACTGAACCCACTGCAGGGCAGCTCTGTCAGGAATCTGCCAGTGACTCCCAGCATTGGGCTCATTGTGCACAGCCCCAAACTTTCATTTCAGACCCCAAATATTCAGCGTTGCAAGTAACTTTGTAACCAGTTACCCTGCATGCACAATGGGACAGGAACCAATAACCATTTAAATTCCAGTATCTGTTGATTTTTGTTAAAAGCCAGAGGTTAAATGGGAGGCTTGTCATGGCTTGCTTTCCTCTACTGGGAAACAATGCCACTTACCTGACTTCAAAAATGTGGGGTCATACCTTGTTTTTATTCTTCAGTGTATATAGTCTAAATTCTTGGCCTTTTAGAGAATTTGTTGATAAAGTTGATAAACTTCTGCCTCCTATAGCATTGATGATGCAACAGCCCTAATTCAAGAGTATCAAGAGAAATGTGGAAATCCTACTCTGGTAGACATACCATCATCTGATCTTCTGAAGGTAAAACCAACCACCGTTGTACCTCACGCAGTATTTTCTCCTTTTCTTCTAAACTAAGACTTTCACCTAACTTACAGCAAAAATACTTGTTAGCTGATTTTTTTAGAATATGTATGTACAATACATATGTATTTTATCATATGTATATGATAAAATATCTCTTTTATCAATTCAAATAATTCATTTTACTTGAACCAACTCTGTGCCATGCTAAGCCTTATGCTTTCAAGTACTTTCACAGGTCTTAGATTAGATACTGTTTTCCTGAGCCCTATTAATATTGTTCTTTTACCTTCCAGATGTATCTGAATGGACCAGAGGAGACCTGTGTACTAGAACTATCCTCGATAAGATCTTGATTTACCCTTTTCTTCTCCCTCTACTGGCAAGATGAGGGCGATGTATTGAGAAGGCTCGCTCTGGTCAGGTGAACATTAAACTAAAACCTCAATGCTCTTTATCAAAAGCTACCCCTAGCTTTCCATACTTTTTTTTCCCCAACTGTTCTAGGCTGCTGCTTCTCCATACTCCCTTTGAAACAGTTTAGATTTACAGCAGAATTTCCTGTTTCTATTCACCAGTAATGTTCATATTGAGCACTTTAACGCTTCCTAAAAATCAAAGTTTATTTCCTGTACTTCTATATTTCTCCATGTTTAAGTCTGCCGAGGATCGCTCTAAGATTCCACTGACATGAACATAACCTTGTATAATTGTGATAAGCTTTTTTTAAAAACTGTAAGTGTTGAACTTTGTGTAAAATATGCTTTGTAGACAAATGGTAATTTTAACTACAGTCAACACAAATAAACAGACTTACATAACAATTTTGGCCTTACATTATTCTATAAACCATTTGTAACTATGAAGTTGTCAGTAAATGGACGTTCCAGTCAGTCCTTGAATAACATGTGTGCCAAGGCTTTCTTTTCAACTCTGTTCTTTCTGTAGGACAAAGCAAAAGGCATTTGTTTCACTGCAGGAACCAGCAGTTAGCCAAAGGTTCCTGAGATAGCAGGCTGAAATGCTTGGTCTTTTTCTGAGGTAAAGCAGATTTATTTTGAATAAGTTATTTTGTTAGCTTACGATACAGAAGTCAGGGTTCTAGCTGATCCCTTAAGTTCTATGGAAAATCATTACTTTAATTCAAGCACAGCTTTTTGCACTGATACTGCACTGGAAAAAAGTCGTAATGCAACAGCCACCATCTGCAAAGGAAACAGGCCTCCATTCTCAATCAGCTGTAGAAGACAAAAGATAAAACTGGTTTTTTATTAGAAAGTTAGCAGTCATGAGAAATGGGAGCTGTTAAAATACATTCAGTTCCCTGCAGTCATGAGCAAGAGAGCCAAAAGGTTGTCTTGAACCACCAATGTTTTAGTCTCCAGTGGTATACAAATGTCATATGGAATTACATTATTTAAAACCTCTGTACATGGAGCAAAGTACATACATGTGTAGTCAGATACAAGCTGTAAATAAAGGAAAGCCTCTCTTCACTGTTTAGATTTAATGAGACCATCACTCATTAAATCTAATCAAAGCAGTTTCAAATACTGCTATAACTTACAGTAGTAATCTCATTTTATCAGTTAATTGTAGGATTTTCAAAATCCTATCACTCCATTTCATTCTTTTAACTTAATTTTCTCAGTTTAACATTCCCAATTATCAACTGGATTCTGAAGCAAACACAGTGTGGCCCCAGAGCCTTCAATCTTTTTTGCTCAAGCCCTTTACAAATATCCTTTAGAAGTGAGTCACCAAGCCACAGCATCAGGCCTTTTAAGAGCAACTACAACTGTTGCATTTTTTTCCAACAACAGTTCATAAAGCTTAGTTTTTCTATGAAGTGGAGTTTATTACAACATAAAGGAACAGTATTTAAACAGTTATTTTAATGGCATATTTTACAAATCAACTTATACAGAGAAAAGCAAACACAATGCTGTTTTAATGTTATTACCAATAAGCTACATTATTAAGCTGTTAGCGAGTAAGTGTAATACTGTAAACTACCAATCAAGTATTGTCATAACTTCTTGCAGTTCAGAATGAGATGGTAAAAATACCAGACAAGCAAAAACATTTTTAAGATTTTTTGTACTCAATTCTTTCTACTTTCACATCATCTCCAATTAGTTGATAGACATATGTCACTACTGTAGAAGCCTGGATATCCATCAGCACAAATGAAGGAATGATGTTGCTGGAAAGAGAGGAAAAAAATTCCTATTAACTGTGCGTATGTCATTGCCTTAGCAGTGTTTCACCAGTAGTTAACAAAAATCAATCTAAGAACAATGGATATGAATTTTGTAAGCACAGCACATCGGAGCTGAAGCTTTAAGTATTCTATTCTCATCTCTCTCAGCTAAGGAGATTTAGCAAGTACTATTAACCCTCTCCCCAACATTTAGAATGTAAACATTAACCTTCATAACGAGTTTTGTAGTACAATTGTGTTATCAAAGATACCCCCACAGGTATCCCCCCAAACTTCACTTACTTCTCTAAGGCATGATAAGCTCCTGTCGCTGATCCTGGATTGATATAGAACTTGTTTTCATGTTCAAATGCCTCAAATTTGTGTGTGTGTCCCGAAATTAGGATGTCCACATCAAACTGCCTTTGTAGCAGTGCCAGGCTGGCCATATCACCCCAAGGAATAACCTGATGGCCATGAATCAGCCCGATTTTGAACTGTCCAACAGTTACAACTTTCTGTTCAGGATAATTCAGGTTCTAAAAATAAAAATAACCCTCAGATTAGACGTACAGATTTATATTTAAACATCTCTATACAACACCAAGAAGAGAAGGGGAAAGCTTATGGAAATACTCAATGTAATTGGCCCTACCGCTACAAAATGAGCACTATGAAGCTACTTTTATGAGCACTGTGGAGAATGTGGTAGGACACAAGGAACTTCAGAGATCTGACAGCAGCAGGTCCTGTTTGCTGCAATCCCAGACACAGCCAACTACACAAATTACTTTTATTCATCCTGAATACAGATGAGAACTTACTGTGCAATTCACATTATTGACTGTAACCCCAGTTTGCTTTTCACATGCTCTTCCTACTACATAACTCAATTTGCCCACTTTTACTCAAATTACAAATAATCCAAATGTTTCCTTTATGTCATTCTCAAGAGAGGATGTTACCTCATCAAAGTCCCCTCTGACAACATGAACATCCCCAGCCAGAGTCTTGAGGTAGTCATAAGTGTCCTTGGTGCAGAGATTTCCTGTGCAGAGGATGTGTTGGATCTTTCCTGGAACCAGCAGTTTTTTGAATTTGGCTGGGAGGCTGTTGCATCGATGTGGAATGTGAAGATCTCCTAATACTAACACCAACTGAACAGGTGTCACGACGGGAAAGAAAGATCATTACAGATACTTATTAAGACAAGAATCATTAGGACACAGAAAGCATTGTAATGTTTTCTTCAGTTTCGTAACTTTGCATTTTGATATAAAAGCTACTAAAATAAGAATGAAATGGTGATGGAATATTGCTATTTTGAGGGAAAACATGGGCCCTTACTAACATAGAACATTTTCAAGAGGGGGGCCTTACAAATGCAACACTACAGATTATTTTGTTGTTGCTGAAAGCCATGGCAAGCTTTAACAAAAGAAATGTGTTACTGCTTGATTTAACACAAATTTGAGAACTGCCATAGACTATCCCACTTTTTTTTTCTCCTTAAAGATAATATAAAGGACATCTCTAGTACATGTTCTCAAGCACAGACCTGGCTAAACTGTGGCCACTTCCCTTTAAAACTCATCATCCCAGTTTCTTCCTATTTTAATTAACTGTTTTCTTCCTTATCCAATAATAATAATTAAAAAAAAAGGCAGCAAATTTGCTATGTGAGTTAATAGCTGACCAGAACAGGAAGCTTGTTCAGTCTGTATTGTAGGAACCACTGAACAACAGAGTAAGACTAAAAGGTTAAAAAAAAAAAACCAAAACAAAACAAAACCAACAGGGCACTGCAGAGAAGATAAGCCGGGCTACTGCGCACAGCGGTTCTATTGCCAGCTTTTATTCATAGTTTCAGGGTAATAGATGCAAGGAGAATACAAATTTAATGGGGGCTCCAAAATCAAAGATTCAAATTAAGACAGACCATCGTTTAATATCATGGGCTTTAAATCTGTGAATAAAGAAATAATTAATGCGAGCAACATAGCAATAAATTAATTATGCAAAAAGGGCACAAAAAGCTCTATAAAGCATGAGGTGGGTGTTATGCTACTACACTGTAAAAACGTTGGACCTAGAGACCGTCATCCCTGATAACTTGATAAAGAGACAGTTTATCTTCCAACCATAATGCTTTGTTAGCAAGACAGCTCCTAAAATGATACCCATCAAATGTGCTTGTAAAAGACACAGCCTAGAGAGATATATATAAAAAAAAAGCAGCAGTAACTATGCTAAGAAATTACCTTTTTTAAATATTTGCTTTTTACATTTTTAGGCCATGCAGCTATCTTCATGCTAACAGTCATCAAAAAAGGCAGAGGGAACTTGGATGGGTTTTTTTGTTTGGTTTTGGGGTCTTTATAGATTAAGAATGTCTCAGTGCCATCATCAAAGCCATGCATCTTTGGAGAACTGATGGTTCAAAGTATCAATAAACCAATACAAGAGTTTTTTAACCAACGACCTACCAATTTAAAACTAACCCAGGAGAGAGAAAAAAAAAAAAAAAAAAGACTCATTTTCAATGGTCTTGCAAGAGAGTCCAGTGAAAAATGCCCTCACTAGGATCACTCCAGAGATACTCGAATGCAGGTAAAAAAATGGATAAGTGACTTTAATTATTGAAATGGCTTTGATTATGAAAGTGGCAATAGATAGACTCTGTTACTGACACTTAAGGGACTTGAACATGCAATACCAGTTACGTATTTAATGTTTAATAAAAGTATACTGCCACATAAAAGACCCCGCTGAAATCAGTGGGGTGTGTGCATTCAAAGGCCATTTCCTTTGCTGATGAACTGGCAGGTCCAATACTTCCCCCCCCAAATCACATTTGAGCTCCCATTACTTAAAGAAAAGCTTGGCAAGCTACAGTAACACAAAATTAACACCACTGAAGTGCGTTTAATAATCGCAGGTATCTGCAACATAAAACAGTGGCAGAGAATGTTACAACATCTGGCTTTTACTAGGAATTTAGGTGCGATCTTGAGCGTGGTTTGAACCTAATTCATATGTACCATCTGACATTCGTATCATCTAGGAACATTAACAAGCCCTTACCACCGGTGTTAGCAACAGCCAAGAGGAGTAAACTTACTCTGTGCCCAGCCTTATTGGAATGGAGAAGTTGATTGCAGACAGGGGGGGAATGAAAAACAGGGTGAAACATGATCAATGTTAAACAAAAGAAAGCAACAGAAAAGAAAATATAGCCAAATGAATAGGCAAATAATAATTAATGAATTGTTGGTGTTATGAAAGAAGCGTTAAAAATAAAATTAAATTAAAAACCGGCTCCTGCGCGCAGCC